TAGTTCAACATCTGTTACTGCACTCCTCGAATGTTCATCTTTCATGCAACCAAGCTAAACTATCTCCTGGTAAATCTATCCAGACTTGACTTGTTTACTAAGAAGGGACAAGCTTCTGTAGATCTTTGAATGTAAAGAATGCTCCCTGATTATCTGACTGGTCATTTTGGGGAGGCAGTTGCTTAAAGGCCCAGTGTGCACCATTATGCTTTGGGGGCGCGAGGGCCGGGATGCGGCYATTTTCAGTTTACCGAAAGTCGATCTATAAATTGTTCTGTCAGTGTATTTCGAATCTTTGACCATCTCACTAACCCTAATATAAGAGTTTTCAACCATCTGCACTCGTTTTATGGTTATATTTGGATACTAGAAGTATTTTTGGTTTATGCTTTGCGCGCCTCTGTTATTGTTATGATTTACACCAGTGGTACAAACTAGGCCTTTAAATCTAAGCCAAAATTCTTGAACGTAGGGATGGAAATCATCAGATTTTAGGCATTTTAGGCCTTTCAATTGATGTTAAAAGTTTGGTCATAAAACCTGAAAATGCCATTGCAAATAGCAACCAGTACAGTGCAAGAATATACCCGGCGATCCCTTAATGATATATACCATGCTATGCCTAAGTATTCCAAAGGATAGTACACAGAGATTCTTGATACGTTCTAGCCAGTCAATACACTTAATTCCACTTGTCCATATATATCTTTTCAATAGAATTTCTTTTTCATTAGTGAAAAAAGGATATATATATATTAGATCATAACATCATCAAAATCTATATTATTTTGCAAGATATAATTCCTCTCAAAGAAAAGAAAAAAAATGCACGTGTAGGCGTGGCTCTCCAAATAAACGTTTTTATGATAGCTTGTTCTTTTTGGGTCGCGATGTAAGAGCTCGTTATGATTCGATCACTATGTTTTCGTAAGTGCTGATTTTCAATGGCTCCAAATACTAAGATTATTCATAATAACACCAATTGTTTATAATAATGCCTTACAGAAAATTCCAATTATCAACAAATTGTGAACAAAGGCATTTCATACGAATCTTATAGACACAATACAATAAAAATAAAGCGGTATATGTGTTTTTCCGTCTCGTTCTGTAATTACATGTAATTAAGCATTGCAAGGCGTGGCTAGCTATCCATATGCTATTCTTTTCTATACTAAAGTTTATTTCACTTCTTTCCATTACAAGGAAATGCTGAATTCTTTCAAACATAATTCATTCCAATGCTATGTATCCGTTAGCATTGCCCCCACATCACCCACACTAGTTATTCAAAAAACTTAAATTTCTACCATCGTACCAAATTTCATGCCTGTTACAGAAGTTTGAGCAATTTTGCACCATTTTCCTGGACTATTATATATTTGCAAGTAGATACAAAAATCCAGTTGATTTTTTTCTTTTTGCTTAGGAATATTGAACGGATWTTTGAAGTYACATCATTCTCTGTGCAAAATCTATACCATTCATGATGAATATCTTATTGAATGTCART